ATACCGATATCTATAGATATATTATATATATATATTATTTCTGAATGATTCCCAGTAATTTGATATAGACTCTTAACCGATATTTTATTTCTACTTAGAAATAACTTAGAAGTTATTTACACATATACATCATCTGTGCTACCGTAATGCTTACCAACTCATTTCAATAGATTTAAATACAGTAAGTCTTCAGGACATGACAAATTTGTTGAAAACTGCTCTCCCAATTTGCTTTATGGAGGAGAAAACATAAAGAAAAGAGACAGACTGTACCTCACTGGCAATTTCTCTGGAGGCTTTCGCATGCTTGATTTCAATAGCATCTGCTCTGATGTCATAGGCTTTCTGCTTGGTCTCATCCCAATCTTTTTGGTATCGTTTCTATGGAGGGAAAAAGACAGGTTTGCATATCAGAATTAAAAACAATTGAATATATGTAAAGGATTCATAATATAAATCATAAGCCTCAAGGTAAATGAAAGCAGTATTAGAAAAACCATTTAATTTTGGAGGGTTTTTAATTTTTTTGGTTGGTTGGGTGTTTGCTTTGCAGAGCTCAGGATACTTCTGATGAAAAATTTAGAACGAAACAACTAAATTTATTAATGTTTGACTCTTTGTGCTCATTGAAATATGATATTTATCTCAAAATGTTGCACCATGCGGTACATGGAAACTAGGGATCAACTGCGAAGTTAGAGCATTATTATTACTATTATTATTTACTGTGCTTTAAGTGAAAGCTTACAGAGCAAGTTTGTTTCCCACTTGTTAGTGCATAAAGTGCTCCATGACATTGGTTGCATTTCCCTCAATGAATCAGAACTCTTCCCAGTTTCACCCTTGGTTCCAAGTTTTGTTTTTGTCTAGATTATTTACCCTTTTCTGCTTTCTCATCTTTGCTTTTGGGCAAATGTTGTCCCTCTGATCTTATATAATGGATTGTTTCAAGGAACATGTTCCTCTTGGGTATTACGGTTTATTTTATGAGCCTATAGGAGTCCTGGTGTGGCGCTGGAGGGTAAGCACTGGACCACAGATCAGTTTGAAATGCAAGATTGGCATTTCAAACTCCCCAGCCACTCCTTGGAGACTGTATATAAGGTTGTTATGAGTCAGAACCAACTCAATGGCACTTAGCAACAATTATTTTATGAGACCCAGTGATGCTATGGAGTAAGTATTGGACTGATAAATGAAAGATGAGTGCTTCAAACCCACCAGCTGCTCTATGGGAGAAAGATGAGGCTCTCTGCTCTTGTACAGACTTCCAGTTTTAGAAATCCTATGTGAGTCTTAGGGTCACTGTGAGTCAGTCAGAAGTGACTATGTCTGTGGATTTGATTTGGTTTGGTCTATGCTTTGGCTGAAAAGTGTCTCTGGGAATGGCTTCAGTTCTGTCTAGGTTGGAAATATGTTTAAGAACCATAGACTCAAGTGTTCCTCCGGTCTCTATCAGACTTTCTGTGAATTTGGTTTTGTTCTCATTTTCTTCCTTCTCTGTCTAGGAGAAGGTAGAGAACTTTTCATTAAGATGCCATTGATAAGGTCTTTCCTTAATTTCTTTCTGACTTTCTAGAGATCTCTGCTAAAAGGATGTGATGAAAATATAATATATATGTTGCTCTTTGGATGTAATTAGAATTTGGTGTTTGGGAATTCTTATGGTCTTGAAATATCAAGCAAGTAGGTCCTGGATCTATAAAAAATGCCTAAAGGACAATATACACTGCTATGCCTTAGATTTTTTAGTGCAATGGGCATTTGGCTAGTGATTTCCTTGCTCCCGATTTAATTACAGTTAAACTGAGATATAGACATAGAATGCTGTTATTGTTGTAAAGTGCCATTGAGTCCGTTCTGACTCTCAGCAATCCTGTAGAGAGGGTTTCTGAGGCTTTAAATGTTTGAGGGAGGCATACAAGACCATAGTTTCAATTTTTCAAAAATTTTAAATAATTTTTGAATTTTAAAAAGATGACATGAATAGCATTCAAGTATTCCACCTCCTACAGTTTAGTTACCCAGCTTTGCATCTAAAAGAGAGTTAAAAAGAGAAATTTCTGTCCACATTGTATTGGAAATGGCAACTAAAGAGAAAATGTTTAGCACCAAAAACCATAAATATTTTTAAGGCATGTAAGCTGTCCATTGTTATTACACATGCCATAAACTGACAGACATTGTCCCATAAAGGGATTTACGCTTCATGTCGACGCTCCTTACATTGCTGATTTGCAAGGCATTGATTTGGGCCTGCAACATGGTCGGCGTGTCAGAAGGGATGCTGATGTTGGTCTTATCTTTATTCCAGGCATCTTGATACAGCTTCTGTTGAGAGAAGAGAGATATTATTTTAATACAATGATAAAGAACGGGTATCTGAAAGATTAAGTCTTACCAACTATTTAATTTGAAAAAAAAGTTTTTATATGCATTATACTATTTAATATGTAACATTATGCTATCTGTTTTAGTATAGTATACAGAGGGTTACCATGAGGGGAATTGACTTGACAGCAACTAATAATAGGAGCTAAATAAATTTTTATTTCCATGAATTGCAATGAAGTGACATTTTTCATTCTTGTGCTTGACAGTATATGTGTGTGGTAGGGGAAAGACACATTGGCATTTGCTAGATTTCAAATTTGCATGCTCTTTCATTAAGCTAGTCAAGAGATTCTTAAGAGTTGCTGCTATCATAGTTGTTTCAAAAGGAACAGCCTATGTGCTTGCTGTGTTTGGGTGGCATCATCTGGAAACAGAGTCTAATCAAAGTAAATCTTGGTAGTAAGATGATTCTTACCCCACTCATTTGCAGAGAATTGGCTTTTGCTAGGACAACATCTGGGGTGTCAACAATGCAAGTGAATTTCAAGGCTTCTGGTCGTATTCTATAGAGTCTTTCATTCACAAGGTCCTGAGCATTCCTCACTCTTGTCATTTCTACCGAGCCTTCCGGTATCCAACCAATGCCACGCAGCCACTCCAGGTCAGCTTTATACACATTCTACAAAGAGGCAGGACACAAAATTTGTTCCAACTCTTAGACATGCCATTCTTTGATTGCAAAAATAAAATACACAGGGTTTAGGGGCTTATAGAAGTGCTGGTGTGACAGTATAGTATGAGCAGTGGACTGGAAGGTTGGTTTGGACCGAAAGGTCAGCAGTTCAAACTCACCAGCTGCTCCTCGGGAACCTATACTGGGCTACTATGAGTCAAAACTGACTTGAGTGCTTGTAATAACAACAGGGGCTTATAAACAGGAGATAATGGTTCAAAAAAAAAAACAAGATCTGAGATTTTATATACGTTGGTTTTAATTTGATGACTGAAGTCATTAAAAAAATCATAATTATTCAAACTATCAATAAATAATAATAAAAGGCAATAATATTGAATTCTATAATAACAGGTTGATATTTTAAAAATTACATAAGTGAAAGATTAGAAAAGAAAAAAATTATTTAATATAATCTCATTGTAATTCTGTAATTATTGATTCCATGATATACTATTTAATATTCTGGATCCAGTACAACAGTGGCAGTTATTCTTTAAAAAATCAGATGGTTTATGTTTGTCTGAAAAGTATTTTCCTTTTCAGAAGTTATAAATAAAATGAAGAAAATAGTCTGTAATCTAGGTCTGGAATGAAAAAGCATGCTCAAAGAAGGTTCTTCATCTATTGTTTGCCTTCTATGACATAAGCCCCAAATATAGGTTTTATGTTAGACAATATGAATCCCCATGGGATTATGCAATGCACAATCTATAGACCTAACCATAGAGGCACTGATTGGACAATGAACACATTAATGTCCTCCCATTCCACCCATCCCAAAGTCCAAATACTGAAACTGTTACATACATTACTCTGTAGTTCATAGGCCTTCTTTGCTTGGATAATGTCATTTTGATCAGGTAGACATGTCCAGTTGTGCAGGTAATTGCGATAATCAATGTCACTGACCAGAGTCTGGCATTTCTTGGCCAGCAAGATGCCTAACATATCCACTGGGCTACTGAACTTGGTCTTCCACTTCTGGAACTCCTTCTTGTACTCCCTTTCACTTTGAATCTTCCCGGCATGTATGGCACACATAATCCTGGGGTCATCTTCAACACTCTGGGCTCCAATGTGGTGGCCCTTCTGTTTCTCATATGCTTCCTTGTATTTGTACTAAAATGCCAGAAATCCAGTTTTAGAAATCAGTTCTAGGGTCATGCACATGTGGACAATCACAAACAATAAGAGAGCCCACAAATACATGGATGAGAATTTCAAATCACAAACATTCTAGCAACTCTAAGCAATTTAAAACTATCATAAAAATACATGTAGTGCAACTCTGTATCTTCACTGGTGGAAGTTATTACTGTGACAAGTCTAAGTACAATTGAAGAATGGAGTTTTCTTCTCTGTGACAACAAAGGAAAGGACTTAGAAGGTGGGAAGTAGGACTGGAGCAACAGATGGGGAGCAATTAATTAGGAAGCATGGTCCACCAGCATGGGTATGGGTTGTCTAGCACTGTGGGGACCAAGAGGAGTTACATGAAAGTACTCACATCACTGGCGATGTCCCTCGAGGCCTTGGCACTTTTGATGGAAATGGCATCGGCTCTCAGATCGTAGTCTTTCATCTTTGATTCATCCCACCCCTTAGTATAAAGTTTCTAGGTAGAAGATAACACACAACAGAAATAAAAGAGTTTCAGAAAGCTAAATTAGCCAATTTCCAAAAGGGGACTGGCAAGGTGGAAAATGAATTTCAGTTATTCCTCAAAAGGACTGGACCACAGTGAGGAAAGCTCTTACTTGACTGATATTGACGGAATTGCTCTTGGCCAGCATGATTTCAGGAGTGTCTGGCATCACGTGGATAGAGGCTTTGTCAGCATCCCAGGCTTCTGTATATAAGTGCTGCAGAAGGGGAAAAAGCCTTTGTTAAAACCAATAATTTTACACTCATCATCAACTCTAACTCAGCACAAAGCTCTACATTTAACTGTAAAATAGCTTTTTTTCTAGACTATCTGAAGGTGCAGAAAGCAAAAAGGTGGTGAGAATAATACAAGGAAGTATTTTAAAAGCTGTGCAGCAGTTTCAGAGATAATGTGAAGCTGTACAGCAGTCTCCATCATTGGTTCATCCCATGCAATCAATTTCTAGCTTAAAAAAGGATAAATTCCATTATAAAACTATGCTATAATCCAAATCAATCACAAGAAACTCCAACTCTAAGCTGTGTGATCTTGAGAAAGTTATTTACTCTGTATTTTTTTCATCTCGATCAGGGGGATATTCATTTCTTTTTAATGGGGTACTTTTTGAAAATTAACCAAACAATAATGTTTATAAAGAGTCCTGGTTTAGTGCTGTAGGATAATCACTGAATTGCTAACTACAAGGTCTATGGTTCAAACCCACCACCCACTCCTTGCACTTCACAACAACTACAACAACAAGGCATACAAGATACCTGAGTCATAGTGTTGTTTTTAGATGCCATAGAGTTGATTGCAACTCATAGTTGTTGTTGCTAAGTGCCATTGAGTCAATTCCAATTCATAGTGATCTGGTACAGAGTTTCCGAGCTATAAATCTTTACGGGAGCAGAAAGCCTTGTCTTTTTTCTGTGGAACTGCTGGTAGTTTTGAACTGCTGACTATGAGGTTAGCAGCCTGATTTGTAACCACTATGCTACCAGAGCGAGCTCCTAGTAGGCAACTCATAGTAGGCACTACAAAATTCTATGTGTTTCCTAATATTGTTCTCATTGTTGTTGATGATGGGTGGGTCATAATATAGAGTTTTTGGAGTTGTATATCCTAACTCTGCAGCTTGCTATCTGAGATCAAATTCATATTTTGCATTGAGCACTTAATTCCACTACACAAATGTTTGGAAGACTTCCTGACAGGTATGAAATGATTAGTTAAGTTCTATTCAGTTTTGAAATATCCAAAATAAGTGCCTAATTCCTGAATAAGAATTAGCCCCGTCTTAATAAACAAAGTGATAGAACTCGGGAGGAGAGAAGTGATCGATTATCCTGTGTGATAGAACCAAATTCATCAATAGCAGCTCGCTTTCAAGAGTGAATTTCAGCAATCTAAGGCAGGAGAGTATTCAAGCAACTGATTTGAGTTTTGTATTAGCATTGCTGTGAAATTCTGATGCCAGAATGAAATGCTAAATGACTATATATTCCTTCCTGGATAGATAAAAGACTCCAACAGCTTGAGCCTGCTCTGCATGAAAGAAAGTACAAGAAAGGAACAAGGTAATGTATTGGTGGATGGCTGCAGGTCGTTACTCAGATGGCATGTATCTTACTCAAAATAGTTATTCCAAGCTATATTTCTGCCTGAACATGGAGAATTAGGAGACAATGGGATTGAGAAGAGCATGTAGTGCCAATCAGAACTCAAGCAGATGCTCTTTTGAAGGCTGACATGAGAATGTTGTTATCATTTCTGTTAAGTGCCATAAAGCCATTCCAAGTCATAGCAATTGTATATAGGGTTTTGGAGGAACAGTTGGTGTTTTTGAATTAACTTTTTGCTGGTTAGCAGACTGGTGCTTATCCTACAGTGCTATACCATAATGCCAGCATGAGAATAAACCCCATTAGGTCTCTTCTATAGGAACCTTTTGCTAAGCATTGAGCTGCTAAAAGAAAAGTTGGTAGTTTGTATCCACCAGCCACTCCATGAGCAAAAGATGAAGCTATCTGCTTCCCTAAAGATTTACAACCTTGAAAACCCTATAGAGTGGTTATGAGTTAGAATTGACTCAACATGAATGACTTTTCAGGACATTTTCCACTCTGACAACCACGTCCCAGGAAAGTATGACTCAGGCAACGTAAAACAGCTGGCGACTCACCTTGCTCATTGTCAAGGCATTGTTCTTTGCCAGGACAATTTCTGGAGTGTCTGTAATGCATGTGAATTTGAGTTGGTCTGCAGGCTGGCGATACTTCCTTTCACTCAGGATTTCTCCAGCTCTTTTCACATTCTCAACCACTACAGAGCCAAGGGGAACCCATCCGATGCCTTTCAGCCACTCAAGATCAGCCTTGTAAATAGCCTAAAAGTGAAATGATGTCAAATAGTTTTAGAAATTACCTAGATGGGCTGGTACCTGATCTTGATTGAACATATACAGACAAGCTAATTCTGAATTTCACTTGTGGAAATTTCTGGGCTTGCTTTATTTTAGTTTAGCATAGGTAGTCTCATGCCTAAACATAGCCAATAGTTGCTGTTTTCAAAACCAATAAAACATGCTAAACATATACCATTTCAGCAATACCTAATCATCTTAAGGAAAGTACAACCTGCCTCCTGAAACAAAGTGTTCATTCTCTAGAGTTGATTGTACACATCTTGATGGGTAGATTTAGCATTAAGGTTGAATTAATTTGGTTCCGTTATTGGGCAATGGCTTTCAAGCCAATTATGTGACATAATGAAGGGTTGGATGCTAGTAGCTGACCACAGCTGAATTAATGTCTTTTAATGGGAAAGTGCTTTGAAAAATGATGTAATTTTCCATGTGATTCTATTTTGACATGCTTCTGACCAGTGGAATCAGAATGGGAGATCAGGGGTGCAGAATGCATTGGGTGACACTATCGGAGGAGGTAACACAATGATGGCGGTCTATAAAATTTATGTACAATGTTTCAGCATAAATTTATAATTTTTTAAAAATAAAAATATCCTGGTACTTACAAAAGCATTTTTGAAGGTCAACTTACGTGTATCAATATACCTATAAGACTAAAACTCAGAATTGTCATTCTTACCCAATGATCCAAAGAAATTCTCTTAATGATGCTACAAATCATGTGGTTTTGTCTGCACATGCTATAGTTACCTGCTATTGTTTTCCTTGTTGCTGGTGTTTTTTTAATTACTAGTTTTGTCAAATTTTTTGGTGTTTTAACTACAATATTGTGGTGAGTTTTATTTTTGAATTTATATTGAAGACTTTATTAAGAATGAAGAAGTAATTTAGGGGGAAAAATGAAATATAACTGCTCAGGTACTAATAATGTAACTAATAATGCTATAATTCAATGTAGAAAAATTTTTAAAAATAATTTTGCTGTTGATATTTATATAATCTAAGAAATATTACATTTAAGCAATTCACAATGATTTTTATCACATACTGTTCTATGATTAAAATTGATAACAAACATTACTAAAGATTCTGTATGGTCTGGTATGGGAAGAGGTCTATGTGGAAGGGGTGACACCACGAGGTACCCAATGGGTACCACCAGCTACTGCTTCTAAGTCAAAAAAATACTTCACTTATTGTTTCTATTTACCTATCCCTTTCTTGCATTAACATTCAAATTTAAAAAAGAGACATTTATCCCTCTTTAATTTTTCTTCTATGAGTTTAAATAATTTGTTGAAAGAAGATTTTTCTTTTTCTGTTTTTATGACTTTTTTTTGCCAATATTTTTTACAATGCCACTATTTTTGTCATTCTTCCTAAAGTGATAATTTTAAAAGCTCGTATGTAACTATGTCAGATTTATTTTGTGAATATTTTGGTAACCGTATTCAAATATGACTTATTTCTTTAGAAGTCTTATCTATTTTATTTCATGCATTCAAACCATTGTCGTAAGAAGGGTTCACAAGACTGACAAAAGTTTCATGTCACAAAAAGATTAGAATTCTGATTTTAAACACTTAGACACATGGCTGATGAACACTGAACCCACTCACATCACTCTGCAGATCATAAGCCTTCCGAGCCTGGATGATGTCATTCTGATCAGGCAGGCAGGTCCATTCGTGTAGTGGATGCTTGTAGTCTATGTCGCTTACAAGGATCTGACATTTCTTGGCTAGAACCACCCCCAGCATATCCACTGGGCTGCTGAACTTGGTCTTCCATTTCTCAAAGTCCTTCTTGTACTCCCTGTCACTCTGGATCTTGGCTGCATGGATGGACCACATCATCTTGGGATCATCTTGAATGTTCCGAGCCCCAATGTGATGTCCAAGCTGCTTGCGGTAGCCTTCCTTGTACTTGTACTGAAACAATGAAAGGATGTATGAGTCTAATGATAAGACTATTTTATTTATATAACACTTCATAGTTTCACATGAACACTACTTCTTTGGACTTTTCTATCATTCTTATGAGAGAAGATAATTTTATTAACACTACCTATTAAAATGTGATTTGGCCAAGGTCACATCACCAATAGGTAGTGGGATTGAGACTGAATGAAGAGCTGCTGTTTTCTAGCATCTTTATCCTTCTGCTAAATTACACTACCTAGTTTTCATTTGATTGTGTAAGTAAATGTAAAACATTAAACACAATCTAACAGAGCATCTATTTCATTTAATTTAAAGATATAGCTTTTTTCCCTAAAAATGTTTTGATAATAAGAATATTTTAGAATATATCTCTTATTATTAAAATGTATACTGAATTATCTGGTCAAGTTATATGGGTTTTATGTTTAGATAAATAAGCAATTAGTTTAGGGCCATTCTCTTATTAGCCTTTCAATGCCTTTGAACTTCCAGTATGAAAGAATCATCTCTTGGGTTTAAGACTATTTTTGAAATTCAAGACTTTTTGGTTCATTTTATTATGAGCTGGTTGTAATGTGAACTTCTCCAGCTTAAAGCTGGAATAACTTTTGATAACAATAAGAATGAAGCTTAAGTCCAAGGCAAAGGGCAATTCCAGAAGAAAGGAAGTCCTGATTTGGGTTTTACGGAGGTCAGATATAGAATAATGGCATTGGACACCCTCAGAGAAAAGAAGGAACTGAGATAAAAGGCAAATGGGTGTTGGGAAGAAAGTTTGCTTACTTCACAGTTTGTTCTAATGGTACTTAATCTCACTAAGTTACAATGGATGAAACAAAACTCTAAATTGTATCTGTCATCCAGTCTTCTTTTATACTAGAATAAATGAATAGAAGTGGAGAAAGCATTTATATTGACTGATTTCCACGTGGTATCAATCTCTTTAAGTTTACAAATATCTGACCAACTACTACACAAATTTATGAGGCGCAAAAGAGTGAACTCACATTTAGTGTCCATAGAAACACTTACTTTTTATGATATGTCTCTATCTTGGACTGACTAATGGAATAATGAATATTTTGTGCTATTATTTTTATGTGTAACCTTTTATATATGGGAATGACTAATATAAATTGAAATTGGTAGGAACTACCAAAATTCTGGCAAGAAAAGCTCTAGAAGTTGCCATTCGTCAACATTTTTGTAAGAAATGCCTTTTACAAAGCCATCAACTTACGTCACTAGCGATATCTCTTGAAGCCTTGGCTGCCTGGATTGGAATGGCATCCAAACGCAAGTCATAACCTTCCTTCTTGGACTCCTCCAAAGCCAATTTATAGAGTTTCTGTGAAAAAGAGAGTCATTGATCAACACTCTTTTCATTAAAAATAGCTTATTTTTCAATTTTCTCCATCCTTGAATAAACTGCAAAAACCAATCTACCAGTTCAAATGTCAAGGTGGGTTTGCAGATAATTCCTTTCATAGGTGCTCATGATATTTAAGGCATATGTCCTCAACTTTGGAATATGACTGATTGGTACATTGAAGAAATTTGAGGTCAGCATTTTATTGTCAACATTGTATTTTGTCAAATAAGCACATGTAGAAAACAACTATTTACTATCACCATCATAATATAAAAGAAAGCTCAACTGAATATTAAAAAAGGAGATGTAATAAAGGACACTATTTTTAAATGAAATTTATTTGTTTTATGAAAAACTCAATACAATGCCCTTATTCTGATTTTTTTTGCAGACTATTGGGAGAGACCACCACCAATCTGTAGACTGGGGTTTGGGTATTATTATCCTTAGGAAAATGTTGGCTCCGATAAAGATGCCTGAAAATGTTTGCAAATAACATTAAGTGGTAATCAGAGCATATTGAAGCATCAAACTAATACAGGGCATAATGACTCATTGGGTTTCAGCACAGTGCCTGGTTCAGTAAACAGTTATTGGATGAATGAGACAAAGACTTAATATCCATTGAGAAAGATTTTGAGAGTATAATACTTAAAGAAGTATTTCTCCTTAAGCATTCCATCCCCTGAACTCTTGTGTAATAGGCTGGTCTACTTTTAGCCATGCCACTTACTCCCAAATGGAATTGTGGGGGAACGATCTCCTTTACTGACAATGTTAGTTTGGAGTATATGTAATAAATGAGTCAATGCATTTCACTAAGAAAACAGTAACAGTAGCTCAGTTCTGCCTTTCTGTTCTTTAAAAGATCAACCATTTACTTACTTCACTGTAGTTTATTCGGTTGAGTTTGGCTAGCATGATTTCTGGTGTATCGGGCATGACATGAATTGTCTTCTTGTCATTGTCCCAGGCTTCAGTATATAAGCGCTAAGAAAAAAGGTATGAGAAAAAATTATTTAGTAGTTCACAGCTATTTTTCTTGTGATTATGTGCCTGCCACATCTCTTTGGCTCAAAGAAGAAATAAAATTACTAAACTTGCCTCAATTCCTATGTTTCATACAAATAAGTTGCTACATCCAAGAGTATTTCATTTGCTCTTTCCTCTGAAAATTATTTAACATATTTCAAAAGCATAATTGGGTTACCATATTTAAAATCTATCTAGGAAAGCTTTATGAAGTAACTACAGCACAGTATTTTTATCATCTGTTTGATATTTTGAAGTATCAAAGTAAGGTGGCTATTATAATGTAAAATCTTTTTTTTTTTTTTTATTAAATGTTTTT